CCAGACCAAACCGCCAGGCCACCCCGCGGGGCGGGGCCGAAGGGGCGGAGGGGCGGGGCTTGACGTCACGCCCGGCGCCCTCCCGGCCAATCGGTTTCTCTTGTGTCAGGCTTCGGGCTGAGCCATTGGGGCCCGGACGCAGACGGAACGTCCAGAAGCCGAAGGGGCGGGGCGGGGCCGAAGGGGCGGGGCGGCCCAATGAGGAGGCGGAGTCAGGTTTCGCTCGACTGGCGTTTACTGCTGGAGGGGCGGGGCCGGGGCGGGGCTTCCGCGGAGGGGCGGGTCCAGGAGGGAGGCCGGTCCTTGCGTTGGCCTGGGTGGCGAGTCGAGTCGCTGCTGGTGGCTCCGGCCACGCGCTCTCGGGGTTCCTGGGCTGTGAATACTCCCCCCTGGCTGCTCTCAGGCTGACAGGCGTCAGCGCTCACTGCGGGGCTGGGAGAGACGCGCAGCGGGTCGGGGCGGGCCGGCGGCGGGCAGCGGCGCTCCCCACAGGCTCGCAGGCAGGGGCCCAGGCCCCAGCAGGCCCCACTCCCGCCCAGCCTGGGCCCCTGCCTCACCGGCCAACTGCAGCAGCTCCCAGCGCGGCCCCAGCTGGCCCCTCAGGTACAGCAGGGCCCGCATGTCCTCCGGGGAGGCCGGGGAGAAGGCGCCCAGGCTGGGCGGTGGCTCCCCAAGCAGCGCCTGCGCCAGGGCCCCTGTAAGCTGCGGCGTGGACTCCTGGGCCAGGGCAGAGTGAGAGGCGGTCAGTCCCTGGTCTCTCCCCACGCCCCCCACGGCCGGCGGGCCCCACTCACCTCTTCCACCAGGACTAAGACTCGGCCCCCTGCCGGCGCCTGCAGCAGTGCGGCCAGGAGCACAGCCCTGGGGTCCTGCAGGCCGTGGGCCGGGCCCAGCACCACCAGCGCCAGGTCTGGCTGGAAGCCATAGGCCAGGGGCAGCACCAGGGCCAGGACACAGCTCAGGAATCCGCCCGTGGTCTGTGGGCGGGGCAGAGGCTAGCTCCGCCCTCCTTGAGGGGCCTCTCCTGCCGCCCCGGGCCAGTTCCCTGGTCTCCAGGCAACCCCATGGGCAGTCCCAGCAGGAAGCCGGTGGGACAGGCCAGCAGTGGTGTGGCTGAGTGGCCACTGCCTGCTGTGGCTGCACCACTCACCCTTGGCAGTGGCATGGAGACACGGAACATGGACGGCGCAGCCACCTCCTCGCCCCTGATGTTCAGGTACAGAGTCCTCCTTCCAGGAGGGAACAGGGACACGTGTGCAAGTGTGGCCCAGGGGGCGGGCCAGCGGCCAGCTGGGCCGGAGACCCTCCTCTGTTGTCCCAGGGCTCCCGCTGCAGAGGCCTGCCTGGCTGGACCCCAGGCCCAGGCTCCCGAGCCCACCGCAGCCAGGGACACCCAGGCGCGGAGACTCACCCGTCGTCGGCGAGGGCGGGGGGCGGGTCCAGCTGCCCCACAGCCACACACAAGAGCCTGCAGGGGGAGTCGGCGGACCAGCTGCACCCAGCGGGCCCAGCAGCCCGGCCCAGCCCACCAGGGCCCCCGGCGAGGCTCACCTCTGGGCGCCCTGGGACAGACAGCGCTGAAGGGCCACGTCCAGGGAGGCGGCCACCGCGGGTGCAGGGACGGCTGCCAGGCCGCTGCTCACCTGCAGGAGGGTGGGCCGAAGCGGAGCTGACCGTCCAGTCCCTTCGGCCCCGGCCACGTCGATGGCGCTGCCCCCCTTACACTCCATCTCTGGGGCCAGGTGCCAAGGAGCTGTACTCCCCATCACCCCCTCGCCATCTGCCATGGGGAGCTGCCCGAGAGCCCCACGGAGGCCAACCTGAGAGGGTGCGTCCCCAGCACAGGCAGCCTCACTGCCCAGCACCCCGGCCGGCCCCCCGGCTCCACCACCACCCCCAGCCGCCAGAGGGCCCCCACCTGCCGGGCCTGGATCCCGTCTAGCAGGCGCAGGGCTTTCCCCAGCGCGGCGAGGGCCTCAGCCTGGGTCAGGGCAGCGTGTGGCCTGTGGCGGGCAAGCGGAGGGGCGCGTGGGCCCAGGGAGACAGGCAGGTGCGCGAGGTCACGGTCCCCGAGGGCCGCTCTGCTCACCTGGCCCAAGCTTGCAGCTCTCCCCACGGAGCTGCCTCCTCCTGCCGGACGGCGGCGGCGTCCAGGGCCAGCGGCGCGGGCAGGCTGGCC